TTTTTCAATAGATTGCAGAAACATTTATTTATTTAATCTCCAAACCGCACATTACCAACCAACCAACCAACTCTATATACAGTCATATATATAAATATATATATATATATATATATATATATAGAACTACTCTCTCTATATATATATATACTAAAACCTCTCTCTTCGGCTCAGCGCCGTCCAGCTGGAGAGAGCCGTGTGGTGTTTCCTCCTGACAGTGACGGAGCTGCGCTGCAGAAAAGGTGTCCCCCGACGCGGGACGCGTCTCACTGTGTTCGGCGGCCCTGGAGACGGCCGTCACATCTGGTCCTCCGCTCGGCGGTGGCGGCAGGCGGGCGAGGAGGGAATTCTCATGATGACGAGCAGCCGGCCCGATTCACCGGGGCCCGGGTGTAAAGATGGCCTCCTGCTCTAGTGGAGGGAGACATAAAGATTTAGACCTTCCACGACTTGAGAAGCATTTCAGAGCTTTTTACTGCCTGATGGATGATGGCTGGTTTATGACTAAAATAATTGATACGGGAAAGTCATTTTCGCCAATAAATCTGTACTGTCCTTCACACGAAGGACACACACAAAAAGAATAGTGATAAAGGCCTCTGACATTGGTGTTCTCCACAGGGCCTGACTGCTAGCTGTTAGCTTGTTAGCATGACGGCGCACTGTTAGTTATTTGGCGCGATATGACGCGTGTGGTTGGAGCTCGGTATTTGTTGCCAATGTAGCGTTTTTTTTCTGGTTGAACCGGTTTACTCACAACTCCAACTCCAAGTCTCGTATCTCCTGTTTATCGGACTGTAAAGAACAAGCAGCACACGGAAGAAGGAAGCCTCAGAGGCCTCCTTGGCCTGGATATCAGCCGGCACCAACCTGAGCCCCAGAGATGTTGACTTTTGACCCCCGCAGATTCTTCCATCTTCCGACTGATAACATCAGTTTTGAATCATCTTCAGCATAACTTTAGTTTATCTTTTCTTACTAAAAAATGCTAATGTAATGACAGGGTGCTTTTCCTGCAACAGCATTAGGCTATGTTGGTAAAATAAAACTCAAGAATGTGATGATTAGCATGGGCTAATCAATGGCTGAATAAACAAAAGAGTTACACTTCCCCAGAAATTCTAACATTCGAACAAATTGCCTAAAACCACTGAATGTTTGCTATGTACAAAGAGCAAACATAAAGCGAGCTTATTTCCCACTAACATGCCAGCTGGATATCACTCCCACTGTCCCCAGAAGTCTGCTGTGTCGGGATAAATAACCACATTTCTGTCATTTTACCACAAATGCATTTTGAATATGCAGTCGAGCTTAATTATAGAGATTTGATTATAATTGCAAGGTTCGTAGGGTTTCAAGTAGCTGAACACTCTCCTTCCATCGTGGGGTTGTTGTCTGAGGTCCGTCTCTGGCTAAACCCTGACGACGTGCTGACTTTGCTTTTGACCGATTTGTGCGCAGAGACACAAGTAGTGTACTCAACATTATTGTTACATCATTAGGATGATGGGTTGATTAATTGATCAATTGCACAACAACCTGTTAAATTAATATTGTTGTAAATAAAACAGGAATATTCTCTGAAAGTCTCTGATACCAGTGAACAGAGGACGTCTGTCGTTCTGTCGCATTGTGTCAAACAGAAACGTCTGCAATCCTGGAACCCTACGAGGACATTTAGGCACACGCCTCTCACAGGGTTGGATGTACTGAGGCCTTGAATAAATATATGTTAAAAGTACCGTAACATTGCCTTGTACCTAGTACACCTCCCAATGTGGAACCATATACAAGGCGCTCCGGATCATAAGACGCACTGTCGTTTTTTGAGAAAATTAAAGACTTTTAAGTGAGCCTTATAGTGCGGAAAATACGGTATGTCTACTTCTCATATACAGTCTATGTGTTGAGAGAGAGAGGGGGGAGAGGTCCATGTACAAAATCACAGTGAGAGCTTTTATTTTTTTTGCGTAGAACCAATAAATTCATTTAAGCTGGAACCAATTCATGTGCCATTTCCACCCAAAATAATATAAAACCTACAGTGAAGTTCCTGCACCAGTTATATGTGGTGTGTGCTGTGACACCCTGATCATTAACACTTAACACCCCAGGGAAATGAGAACCGCCTGAATCTCTTAACGCCTCCTCAAAGACACTAAATAAAGTTTGCTTGGATTTTAGTCGACTTCCTGAATCGGGGAAAAGCAAACAGTCCGAGTGTGGCTTGTAGAATTAACTCACCTCACACTGCTCAGGGTGAATAAAAACCCTCAATGACCCTGACCTCGAAAAACATTTTCCAACTTACCTTGCCCCCCGGGGTCGACCTCGTGGGGCGCCGCCTCCGCTCCCCTTTCACGGCACGCCGAAAAGCAAAAGGACGGACGAGGCGCCCGCTCAGAGGAGGACGTTCCTCCTGTCCTCATCGACCTGCCGTCTATCAGGACGGGATCAGCCAGCTGTGTCTGGACCACGAGTTCTGCCCGTGTCACTGCAGAGAGTCCGCAGGCCGCCGTCAGCCTCAATGTCATGACAACCAGCTCAGCATGACGAAGGGACAACTAACGGGGACGAGGTGTCTGCTGTCAGGTCCTGAAATCCACATTCTGCACTCATGTCATCAATTTGCTAGACAAATTCATTTCAGCTCTCTATTAAAGGTTAAAAATGATGCTATAATTATAAAGCATCTTTAGCATCGACATCACCCAGAGGCTTCAAATGGGAAAGAGCTGCTAAGTGACCTTATTTGTTCAGGCACTCCGTAACGGACTGCTAAATATGGACGCAATGAGGCAGATGGAGGCCAAACTCTTGCCTGTTGCCTATGAAAACCATAATCGGCCATGATGTTCAGTCGGTAAATATTGAGAGTGAAACGAGGGCTGCTTTAGGGCGGGGCTTCCTTGTGATTGACAGGTGGCTCCCACAGCCACATCCTGTTCTGTTTTTCATCTTAAACTCTCTTCCAGTCAAAGGACGTTGAAAGCAACATTTGGGTTCCAACCAGATGATTAACACATCTGAACCAGTGGATCCATCTAGTAAAAGATCATTTTTCGATTCGGAAAAATCCAAGAATGACTGAAATTGTTTTGTTGCTCCACTACTTTAATGATAGTGGACTGAAATGGGTGAAACCTACTGGATGGGTTACCTTGAAACTTGCTGGCATTATCGGTACTCAGAGGACGACTCACGGGGATCATGACGATCCTCCAACTTGCCGACAGAATGTTTAACTTGACATGTGAAATAGTTAGTTGATGGATTCATACACAATCCCGGTTTGCTATTGTATTGATTTAGATGTTCCTGGAATTGGTACAAACATTATTACATGGCACCCTCAAGACCTGACCACCATTCATTCAGATTAATGGTACAATTTGTACCAAAATCACGATTTGATTAATGGCAAATTACGAGATTCACAAGAATAATGATCGTGTACCACGTTGGGTTGTAATGGATATTTCTACTCCTTTCTGACGTCTTAATCATTGAAACGAACCCCCCCCCCCCCCCCTCCCTCTTTAGGAGAGCAACATTTAGACTTCCTTTAATTTAACCAAAGTGCAAATTCTTTCTATAATCAAACCCTTTCATAGTTTCATGACAGGTCCATTTTGCAGTTGCAGAAAGCCTTTGTCCCCGAGAGGAAGACAATTTTCCACCTGCTCCCATTTGCAACCGTACAGACCGTAAAACTGATGATTCCGGGGGGCGAGAGAGAGAGAGAGAGAGAGAGAGAGAGAGAGAGAGAGAGAGGGGGGGAGCAGGATGAGGGGCCAACGTCCGGCACAAGGTGCGGCACCACCTCTGGCCTCAATCAGTCATCAGGTGCATCGGCAGAGAGGTTGGCAGGCAACAGGATTAAGGAGCCATCGCGGCGATTGTTGTTATGCCCTTATGGGTGGAGTAATGCAGAGCGTGGGGTTATATTCCCCTGACGGAGGAAAGTGCGTGCTGTGGTCCGAGGCCCCCCCATGACACCCGGAGAAGATAAAGGGCCGACAATAGATAATTAAGGAAGTGCCGGGACCTCTTTTCTATTCACACGACTGTTTTATTAAAGGAGATTCTGGGAGGAATATTAATATAAACTACCAGCCTGTGTGACTTGGAGACGGATATAAATTGGAAGCGGTGGAGTGAGGAATTCATCAGGGAGCGTTTTATTAAGAGCGCAGGCGGAGGCGGTGATCACGGGGCTGCAAACTTTTGCACCATCATCAGCCTCCATATCAGCCTCAAGTGTCTTCATACGTCCGTGTCCGTATCATGTACACGCATTTACGCTTTTTTAAAAATTGTTTGACATCCTCATATTTATAATAAATAAAAAATAACAAATGGTGTAATATTACTTTTCTTTCTACCTTTCCTACCTGCTATATAGCCTGACTTTTTTACATGCCGTTTTCAACATATTCACTCACTTTCTTTTCAATTATTTAATTAGATTAAAAATATCCTGCTTTCATTGTAATCTTCCTTGCTTTTTTTTGGGAAACATTTTTATTTCTTTTGAATCTTTCTATTTTCAAATAAGCAAGATGTATTTTATTTTTCATTGAGCCTTCACATGTTGAATCATGTTCATCTCATTGCCAATTCCTGAAGATCCTTCCAAACAAAAGATGCATTATTTTCACATATTTGACAAAACCTTCCAAGTTATTTAAATCCATAAAGCTCTGTTTGCCTCGTACTGAAAACACGTTTCTTTTGCTTCACAGACCTTGAAGTCCCGCAATAATGTATTTTCTGTTTGCTGATTATAATCATGTTTTATGCTTCTTGCTTCTCTATGAAAACAATATCTCCAAAGGGATGCCGGAGTTTTGACCCTGTTCATGTAGCTTCTATTGTAGCATCATAATTGGCCACAGGCTGCTGTACCTCCTAAAAGAAACTTGTATAAAACACAATTTGTCTGCCCATCGACAAAGTAAAGAGTCATTTTAATTAGGAAATAAACAATTTCACACTTTTCTTAGTCTAGTTTTTATTGTTGGGTAGAAGGACAAGCGTGTTTTCTCTATATAAATAACAATCACATGGAGGAACATACGGGACATGGCTGTGTGGAGGCAAAAGCATTGATCACAATGTGCTCGGGGTACAAGATGTTGAAAGTGACAGTTGTGTGTTTTGTTTAAATATCTTAAAAAGGAGTGTGTCGATTATGAACTGGACCTGCGTGGATCTGTACACTGGATGGGAAACTAACTGGAACAAAGAGAGAAAAGCTCAGAGGTCATAATCATCGGTACATTTGGATTTTAAGGTCGGCAAAAAATGTGACCGGGGTGAGAAAAAAGAAAAGATAAAAAGAATAAGAAAACAAGTAAGATGTAAGAGGAAAGACGGAATGACTTTATATAATCTGTACACATCAAAAGTCCTTACTAAATTTTGAGATGGAGTTTCCCATTGTGGTTTACAGAAATGTGAGTGGGGAAATGCATAGAAATGTATCCAGCTAGGAAACGGATCATTTACTTGTCTCCTTCAGAAAGAGGTGTTCGCCATTCGCAAAGCCGCAAAGGGCCTCTGCACAAAACAGCTACGCTGCTCCCCAACGGGCCACATTAAAACAGCCATTTAAAAACGGGCAGGCGATGCATGTTTTTCAATAATTCCCTCTGTCGCCCTCGAAGATGCTTTCCGTATCTTTTTTTGTGGTCCACAGATATTGAAGTCGTAATTTTCTTCAAAACACAAGTGCTCTACTGACTCGCTGCTAAGGAACGTTTTGAAATAAGTCAAATCTCACAATGTGTGGCGTTTAAAGCCGGTATAACTCATCTAACATTCCTACTGAAATGTTCTGCTTTGGACTAAAAAGGAAAAAAAATATGGATATAATTCAAAACTGTGCAAACGCTCGTCGCGATCTGATCAGAGATTACTGAGCCTAATGAAACTCTCCCAATCTCCACTTCAAACAGGGTTGGTTCACAGCGAGGGATTCTTTTAATTAGACTGAGTCGGCCGCGTTGGACGGACAGATAGACGGCCGCAATGGATTTCGGGAGGAACCGCACACAAATGGAGGAGGTGGAGGGTGGGGGTCAAAGGAGGAGGTGTAGTCTGCAGTCACACTGGGAATAATTATGCTGATTCCTCTGATGGAGGGGAATTTTCCTTGAAGGCACAGGAAAACGGTTGGGATGATTAATTAAATTATTAATATATATATGATTTTTTTTGCCAAATCACAGATTTTCTACAGCATTCTCACAGACTGATTACAACCAATAGTGAATAATTATGCTTCACACGTCAACAGATTAGTACCAATTTTTCTGAAATCGATTACCAACAAGCAACGTCATGTCGATACAAACATGATACAACCAGTGGGGAAAAAAAGGTTCAAACTTGGCTTTCAGGCAATATCAACCAATTACTCCCTCAATTGTATTTTTTGGATGACAGTCCCTCATCCGATGGATTCACTAATGGTCAATTTAGTTCATAAATCGGTGGCGTTCACTGTCGTGTTCCCACGAAATCAAAAACTTTGCAACAGAATTCGGCGCAGCAGTACCGTCGGGGAAAAAGAAAGCTCACAGGGTCTCGCCGTCGCCGCCTAAGACTCCCCGACCCAAACCACCACGTTGCCCTTGACGACGTCGGTGATCTCACAGTTGAGCTTGTTGAGCCGTCCGTCCAGGATGAAGAGGGACTCTCTGGACGGGGTCATGAGGTACTGTCCGAACAGGCCGCTGCCCGCCATGGGCCTGTTCCTGCTGCTCCACGGCCACTCGGGCGACTTGGTGGCCTCTTTCAAGCTCTTGATCATCTTCACTTTGCCGGTGCGCAGCTCCACGAACAGAGCGTCCGTTTGACGGCCGGAGCTGCCGAACACGTTGTACTGGTGGACCTCCGTGAAGGAGCGCTGGAAGGCCAGGTCGGACAGGTGGAGGTTGGTGTGGATGTCGAAGGGCTCCTGGATTTCTCCCCGCTCGGAAATCATCTGGATCCTCATCAGGCCGTCGCCGTCGTCGACGGAGACCAAGTAGCGGCCGTCCGGGGACACGTACGGGGTGCCGGTGACGTCGCGGTTTTGGCCGATCACGCGGTCCGTCACGCCGTCCACGACGAGCTGCGGCCGCGTGGCGCCGGTGGAGTCGGGCCTGCAGTCGACAAAGTAGTAGCCGCCCAGATGGGTGTAGCTCACGGACTTGGGGATGCAGTTATACTCCCGTAAGCTGATGTTTTTCACGTAGGACGTGGTCTCCAGGTCGATCTTGTGGAGGACAGGCTCATTTCGGTGAAGGATGAGGCCGAACCTGTAGATATAAAAACCATAAAAGGCTTTAACCAACAGACCATTTTTAGTCGTGTGAGCGACGTGGCTCTATGGCAACGTTGGTTGGTGTCCACCACAAAACTACTGGATGGATGGACATGAAATGTTGAGCAGATATTCATTTTTCTCAGAGAAGGAAGTCAAGTGAAATATACGCTCTCTTGGACGGACTGATGGATACTCTGGAATAGAAGTCACATCTCAGATGATGCATCTTATGACTTTGGAGATTCGGCTCTGCTGCGACCAGTGAGAGTGAGTTTCATGTTTTTGATGAAATGTCTGAATCGGATTGTTATTCCTTAACTCATCCAGCACAATCTTTATTTCACATTTCTAACTTCTTACGTTAAAACTGACCACGTGCCAGAACTACCTCCGTCCCTTCTGAATTCTGTTCAATGCTACTCAGCGTCTTAAGCGTGCTACATTGGGATGCGGAAAATAGTCAAACATCACACCTCTGTAAAATAATGTTAGCAGACCAGTTAAAAATTAGTAAACAAGAGCTAGATGAACTAAAGTAAGAAAAAAAACCCAACTTACTAAGAACCACTCCAGCATTTTTTTTTATATTTAAACGGTAAATCTTGCAAATTTTGTGCAAATTAATGGTAAATGATAATTTAACCAAGCTGTGTTTTTGAACATGAATTTTTCATTAGTTGTGAATGTGCCAGTAAAGTCTTTTTTTTCAAGGATATTTAATTCTGAAGCAGCAAGTGGTAATATCCTAAAATAAAGCACCACACTCCATATTTGAAGATACATTAACTTAATTTAATCTTTAGTGGGTTTTTATAGTGGTTGGAGCGGAATACGTTTTAGAAAGGAGAAAGAAATAAGCGATCCATTTCGCCACTTAAATAACCAAACAGTGACATTCTTGCATCATCTCCCTTTTGCCCTAAATTAGATTAATTCATCATAAAACCAGGATGTTAATGGGACATTACATTATAACAGTAGGGGGGAATTTGCAAGGATCTGACCGGCTTCATTTGGATGTGAGTAGCACGTGGTCGATGCTGACGGCCTTTTGAATCATTTATTGTCAAGACGGTGACACAATCATTGGTCCGCAGGGAGAACATTTAGTGTGACCATTACGTTTTGGTGGTGTAGAAATTTAAATGAGTAATTGAGGAAGGTCTATTATTTGAGTAATTCCATGAATTAGTTTTGGCAAAATCTTAGTTATTATTTTCTATAAAATGTAACTATTGGATGTTCGAGTGTCTTGACTTAAATGTCGAATCAAAGACATCATGAACATCTAAATAAGAAAATGGGCTGAAAGCGCTGTGACAATAATCCTACTCCGTCCCATCCCAGCTTTATTCCGCCAAGATGTACGAATTTATATAGAAATGGTATTATTTTTTTACTGTGCAGCTTGAACCTCCACAGATTATTAAATACCAAAGTGACAATTTCTTTGTGTTCATCCTGCTGTGACAGATCAATGCGTAGTGCACGTGTACCGAGATATTCTGGAAACATACATGGAGGTTAAAGGTCATCGGTGCATTGAAAAGATTATTACATTGAACACATTCTTTTTTTTACTCCACTTAATTCGGAAAACCATGTACGACGATGACTGACTAATTCTCTGCCCTGGCTGTGACGTTATTGGCAGACACAGATCGCTCTCGGCCAAAGTGACAGCTGCTGTTTGTCGTTTGTGCCAACGATTAATGCACTAAAGAGTCTCCCCGGTCCTGATTAAGCACTTTTAACCACATTTAACCACTCGACTTGGTATCAATATCTGCAGTTTCAGAAGGGCCTTTGTCTCAAAACTTTGCACGGGAAACGGGGAAGAGAACCACGAACGCCGCGCGGCAGAAGAAATCCACCACGCAGCAGTTTCTCATTCAGTCAAAAACCAGCGAATCAACATCTGGACCGGCCCGTTGTGCCGAGCGGCGGCGTGAGCGAGCCGCAGGGTGCCGTGCACCTGGGTGGAGGGAAAGCGGTTTTCTTTCTGCTGACTTGCGCAGGCTCCTGACTGCACGTCAATGCTCTTAATGAATGACAGACCCCAGAAGTTCCTGCTCGCCGCGGTGCGAACCTCCTCATCTCATTAAACAATCCCCAGCAGCTGCTCACGTTGCTGAATCGACTGATCAACGCTGCCTTCCAGCCAACAGACAAATGGCGGTCTGCATACGAGATCAATTCCTAAATAAACGCGAGCCACAAGGCAGCAGTTCATTTGCCCTCTCTTGCAAACAGCAACACCGATGCACATATGGATCTCAAGCTCCTTGTTGACTTCAACACGTTACTGATGCTAACAGCGTTACAGTAGACTGTTAACAAGTGTTAGTTGGACATATACATGATGCACTCTCATTCACCACCACTGTAACTTTCCTTTTCAATCGGCCAATTTACGTTTTGTATTGTAATACATTATCTTGTTTGATAAGTGATGAAGATTACCGCTTCGGTAAAAGTAAAAACTTTTGCTGTAGCTTTGATTTGGCACAATAATCCACTATTATTGGCAAAACGACCGGAATGAACACATTAAAGCCACGTTAGCGACGTTAATTATGAGGTGACCCGGCGACACAGTTCACAGTTCTGCGTTTATTGATAAGAGCATTCAAAATGACGAGCAGCTACTTGGTAAAGACGGCGATTTTCCAACACGAGGAGCCCGTTTTTTCCCGACGTGTTTCCTTCGGTCTCAGTGGATCTAATTACTGCCGCGCCAGCAAACCCACTATATACCCCACGCACAACACACACACGCTCTCGCGCAGACACACACACGCGTTCTCCGGCCAAGTTGAGGCCGAGTGCGACACCTCAGCGGCGCGTCGGCCTTGGTGCCACCCGAGGGAGGGGGTGTGGCGCTGACCGTCTCCCTTTGGACACGTTCCCAAATGCAGATTACTAATTTCATCTTGAAAACAAATGGAGCGAAATGAATCAGTGGTCGTCGAACAGGTGCGTTGATGAAATGGTATTTGAGGAGAACCAGCCTCTTTGAACCCGGGAATTAAAGATCCAAAGATTCACACATGAAAGGTTTCTTTAAGTTCACCACGGCGTGTGTCGATTTAAAGACGGGCCGCGCGCAAACCCGCATTGAAAATGAGGTTGAGCTGCGTTGAGGCTGCATCTCTTCAGCATTCTGGGTGCTTGGCGGCATGATTACACCTGCCCCTGTTTTAGAAACACAGCAATGAGGTTAAAAGCTGAGCATTTATAATCTGTAGTCTGTATTCCCTTTGTGGACAAAAGATCAGACGGATGAACTCGTCTATCCACAACAGTTCTATACATTTAAGGTTAATAACTGTCGCTCTCTAGTTTCAGTATCCGTCGAGAGAAGCGAGACTCTCGAACTGTCTAATGAATGTGATGTTAATGAAAATATAATGATATTGGGATGATAATATACAAAAAAAAAACATTTAATATGATGTTTTTTAGACCTTAACGTCCAGGTCCTTGAACATTTAGATTACTCATCCAACCCTGTGTTTATTTGGGAGAATAATTTATTAATTCCTCAATTTGTGCAGTAAACAAAAGTTTTTTATTCAAGAAGATCCGTTGATTTGAAGACCTGGATGTAAGTAAGTTCCCTCCACAGCTGATTATTTTCTCCGGGTGTTCAGGACCCGAAGTCTTCACACTCACACACACACACACTCACACACTCTCTTTCCCACAGAATGACCATTACAAGTCATTACTGCGGCCTTGAGTCAGGAGCGAGAAAAAGTGAATGAAATGCTACTGGGGTGAATACAATTTGCAAATCGATCTCCATTAGGAGCGCTCTTGGATCACACTGGACGCACCTGATGTGGTTAGTGATGAGGCCGGAGGCGGGAATGAAGAAGTCGTCCACCCTGTCGAAGCGTCTGCCGATGGGCTGCGTGTGAACGGTGTGGTGGGACACTCGTCCACTGGCCTGATTGATCACCTGGAGGAGGAGTTGGGGGGGGTCAAAGCTCACAACCCAAAGCGGGTGATATTTGTAGTTTGTGTTCTATTTTTTGTGTAAATGAATCGTGTTCAGTCCATAAAAAAAAAATCAAGTCAAATTAGTCTGTTGCTATCATGCTTATCGTCGCCTCTCCTCCGCTGAGATGCTGGAGCTTCGCAGTGGGAGGTGACGTGTGCCTTTGTCGCCGCCGCCTAAATCGTACTTGTGCATGCATGACAGCGGGCGGACATTTGCTTGTGCGTAGGCAGGTCTGATTTGACTCCGTCGCAATACACAAAGACGATTGCCGCAGACCGAAGCCTTTTGTTAGCATTATCATTTTGTTGCAGGCGATTACGAGCAGGATTTTCAAGTGAAGCCACTCAACACTCAAGCTGGATTCGGACGTCTCTCAGAGGACACGAAAGCTGCTCTTATAATAAATTACCCTTTCATTAGAATACGTCTATTTGCAGCATGATCTTCACGTCAGTGTCATGGTGACATACGTGGTGTTTCTATTTGGACAGGGTCTCATTTTACCAGTAATATGGATCTGAAATTAAACAGAACACTTCCTCCTTGTCTTGTGATTTGAGGAGAATATCCATTCCCACGTTGCAAATCCAGAAGACCAAAAGGGGCTCTGTATTCCACATCAACTACAATTTGGTTAAAAGCCTCCGACAAAACAAGTCCTGAATACTTTTAGATAATAAGCATTCAAACTCTTGAATTCAAATGTTGCTCTTCTCCCATGCTGATGGCCAAACCCGTCCACACTGCACTTTAAGAAACGATTAATTACCCGTCAACAAGCAACACGAAGCAATCAGCCACTGGATATCCCAGAGAGGATGCAGTGATTAATGCTGCATTTATGTCAAATTGTAAAAATAGGGAACAGCAGGACATTTCATTAAATGAAACGTCCTGCTGTTCCCTGCTTTTCACAGATGGTGATGATACAGTTGTTTACATCTGAACACGGTCTTTGTTTGTTGGAGGTAGAACAAAGTCTGTACTGTATGTGTGAACTATGACTTTTATGACCCTGCAAGACGACATTCCAGCCAATATGAAAGCCAATAAACCGTGACGCTCATTGTGATTAGCAAGAAGAACCTGCTGGAAAATGTTTGTAACCATTTTAGTGATCTAATCCAAAACCGAGTATGTTCAGTCAATGACACGTTATTTGAGGGCAGCAGACATGCAGCAGCTTGCTGGACTCACCTGGAGCGTCGGCCGGTTCTTCTCCATGTCCCCCCAGCTAAGCAGCCACACCTGGTCGTGAGATTTGTCATAGTGAAGCTTCACGGGATAAGGGTCGGTGTCGACGGTCTGGAAAGAGGGCAAGTTGGGGGGAGGAGGTGTGGGGGGGGGGGCATCAAAATCAAACCAAGCGGAGCCTTTAAAGACAGCAGGACCGCAGAATAACAATTCAAGGCAATCGAGAGTCTGCTTTTAAGATCCTTCTTTGATGTGCGGTGGTTTCTGCTTTCGATGCATCATGGGTTGACAAGGAGCAAGTCTTCTCTTAACAAGGCGGGTGGAGGCGGGCTTTTTAAGTACACGCTGTTGTTTCTGCCGTTGAGCTGCATTTTAGATCAAGTGGTGACAGACACAGTTGCTTTGCTCCGCTGAAGTAATTGCTTTCGGCTTTTATCCGTTGCCTTGACGCACCGCGGCAATATTCCTTAAGTCAGAACAATAGGTGAGTCACACGTGACAGCAGAGGGCTGCTCGTGCATCATGTCCACCTGAGTGCGGATAGACAGCCGGCTTAAAGGGAACAGGGGAGGAGAAGACATGCAGCTCCGTATTCCCACAATCCCCCTTGACTGCAGCTCACTGTCTGTATAATTTGTGTTGCTATGCAGCCCTAAAAGTGTTGTTTGGCAAAATATATAATGCCTTGTTAAGAGAGACGGAGATGTGTTATTTCACACGAACAGGGGAATATCTGTTGGAACTTTATCTCTGAGCAAGAAAACTGTGTTTGTGTTTCAGGCTGAGGAAGATTATCAAGAATCCTGCAACAACCATGTTCTTCTGTCAACGACGAAGCGCAAAAAACACCGCGGCTCCTTCAAACATTTATCCGTGTGCACTTTGCAACGAGAGCGGTTATGAAATACAAAACACCAGCTGTTCATTCAACAAAACGTCTTCACTGGCACTTCATTGGTTACACATTTCAAAATGCAACTCGCTCATTATGATAGCGTTGCGTACGTCACGTGCCGCTCTCGCGTCGGAGTTGTGCAGCTTCCTGAAGCCGTCTTGGGAAAACAAAGTTCCCGCAGAAAAACAAACGCAGCTGTAAGAGTCCACTGCTGAGTGTTTGGGGAATTGTGTCTTAATCCATCAGTGAGGAAACCTGCGGTTGCCATGTTACGATATCTGCGGAGGGGGTTGCCAGGTTACGGTTTCGGTGAAGAGGCGGGTCCCCGGGGGCTGCTCGGTACCCGCATCAATGTGGCAGTTAGGAGCAGCAGGTATGAAACAGTTCGGGTCAGGGGTCAGCAGGCGAATCAAAGGTGGAGAAAATGATTCTAAAGCTGGAAAAGCAACATCTCAGTCCATCAGGAATAGAGCCGCTGTTGTTGACTGAGAAGGCAGAAACAGTTTTGAGTGGCAGCCTGTTTGATATTGAGAAGCTACAGCTACAACCTGAGACGAGGAGCAGCAGGTATGAAACGTTCATTTAGAGTAGCTGACGCATTAGAATAACACATATGCTCACTGTGGCGCAAGCTACATGATCACTGGACATCCTCGTTTAGAACCAGCAGGATGAAAGCCCAGGAGGTTTCATATGAAGAAGCTGATTTGCCTCTGCGTGAAAAAAATTTATACTGTTTTTAATTTGTTATTTGTCTCGTTTTCCTCTGTTACAAATGACTTGTCAAAAATGTCATTTTTCTATGCAATGTTTTGTTGCATATTTACAATAAATAATACTTTTATAGCTGACAGACATGCTTTGGAGTTGACGTATAGTACATATTTTACGAGGTGAAGTATCCAGGCAGAGAGACTGCTTAGCCTTAGCTAATTATTAGATGGAACAACATTGTTAAATATATTAGCAGCGAGCATCCTAATGAGCCTCTGGTCAGCTAGAAACAGCAGTTTCCCTCTGTAAATAGTAAATAACAATTCTATGTAGCATCATAATAAAGTTCAACCGCCTGTCACACACGTCCTGCAATCGACCCCCTGATGAGCGGATGAAAGGTCACCAGGGACGACGTCACCACAGCAATCTGTCCTGTGTATCGCTGTCCTACCAAATAATTACTGGAGTAGAATATTATAAGTGCTTGCATATCTAATGCGCAAGCTGTTCTCAGAAAGGAAAAAATGTTCCCCGCGCACTTTAGGGTGAAAGTTGCAGGACGTCTTAGGGCGTTGTTAAAGGATTTAGTTTCTGCATGGAGGAGGACGTATTGTGTCAAATATCAAACAGGGGACAGATTGAAGACGAAAACGTGTCCTTCTTTTAACAAGAAGAAAGAAGAGGTATTTTGGAACAACATTTTACACAACAGGAAAGATTATTTAGTTTCATTTCGCTCCTGTCAACTTCCTGCCGCACATCACATTGTTTTAATGCTGCTGAGAAAATCAACATCAAGCCGGTTTTATGTGTAAATGAATCCTTAAAACTACCTGCACAGCCTTCTGAGACTGGATGTCAACTACGAGCACTCGATCCAAGGTCGGCTGTGTCACGTAAATAAACTTGTCCTTGACGTTGACCGCCGATGCCCACACACACCTCTGGACCTCTTCTCCTGGGGAGGTGGGGCACACCTCCTCCTGCAGGGGAACACAAGCACATCACATCACATCACGAGGGAATTAAAAAACTATCATCTCCATCCAGTCGCTCTGTTTGGTCTACTGTGGTCAGAGGGGATGAACGGACGGCGAAAGGCGGCGTCCCGCCGGCCGGGTGTTACGTATTTTGGGGATATTTCATTTAGGGTCACGGGCAGCAGCAGCAGCAGCATCGCTGAGTCTGTTCGAACTCATCTCTCAACCACACAGCAGAGCAGAATGGTCAAACCGTGGCAACCGGAGCTACGGCTCTTTCGGCCTCCAGTATTCGTAGCTGTGACGTCAACGCTGTCCAGCGTCGCGCCATCTGTCGGCGTTTTTGCGATCTGGAGCGGGTTCCTTCCCGCCCCCGGTTGAACAAATTGTGGGAGTCATGGAACTCTGGGTGACCCCCGCGGTCCCCTGTGCCTCTTGGCTGACAACGTCTTACTTATGTCACCTTTAGGAGGTGAGAAATCCAACATGTGATGCCCTGCTGAGGGTGTGAATGGAGGCGGCTGTGTGTGTTTGTGTGTGTGTGTTTCATACGTGTGTATGCGCGTGGGTGCAAAGCATGTGTTTATGTATAAACCGACAGCTTCCACAGCGGAAAGGCGTTTTTTAGCGGCTCCCCCTTTTTTAAGGTCTAAATTCAAACTGCAGTAAACAGCAAGATGGTGATTTCAGGATGTAGTTTTTGAAATGGTCAAAAACACGTTTTTTTTTCTTTGCTACATTAGTTCAAACAATTCTTTACATGAAGACAACACAGCGATTGTCCTACAAATGGAAGGTTGTCATTGCTCATAATGAACACAGGCTCAGTGAGTTGATTTCTTCAATCATCTCTTATGACCAACTGGTGGTGGTGTCTGTATAATTGAATGGACCCTGCCAGGTGTCTTCAGGGCAATGACCTTAATAAAGACAACTAGGTGCAGGTCTTAAGGATGAAAATGACAGATACAGCGGTGACGAGACACATTGCTAAAGTTTAGGGGAAACGACAAGCGGCTTTGGCTTTAGCTAAATGGTAAAGAAAGCCTTGTTGTACTGGGACGGGGGGGGGCACCTTGAATGTTTAGATGAATGCAACCACAAAATCATTCTCATTGTGAAAGAGCCATTTACCAACACAGGAGGACTCGACACAAAGGTTTGGCTGGGAGAAAAAAGGAGGATGCTCCTTTCAGCTTCCTCCCGGCTGCAGAGGGAAGGAAAACAAAGACGCTTCCAGGGCCGAGTTCGGTACAATTGGACATCACGGTGTTTTCCTGCCGCTGTGTGTATCCCAGTGAAAGCACTCTATATGGCCGGAGAATTAATTGGCTGTGAAATCAATCCATGCAGCTGTGCGACGGGGAAAACGCCAGTTCCAACGGCGTGAAGGGCCGCGTGTGTTCACACCCCTCAGAGCAACGCTTCGCTGGTTGCCGCTCATTCACTTTATGTATAACAGCCAATAAGCACGGGGGGGGGGAGGGGGCTCCGGCTCCAAGGAAAACATCCATTTGAGATGAAAGCTAACAGGTTTCTGTCGACTTCAGTGGTCGGTGTTCAGAAATCACTCCAATTACTTGAAAAATCGCATTTTATCTTTTCCTAATCCACGAAGGAATCAGAAAATGTGGACGTGCGATTAATTCAAAGGGGAACAAACGTGTCCTATCTGATGAATGGTGCCCATTTAGTGGCGTACTCCCCCTGATGAGCGATATCACACGTATGTCGATACGGATCACGGATACACATATCTACTGTATGCGTGCATTCTCGTCTAAAGCCGATGAAGCCGAGACGGGCGGAAAGGCCGCGTCCTCTAAACCGGCGGCTTCTCTGAACATCAGTTGAATCCTGATGGAAACTATTGGCTGCTGGTGATTGATTTCAGTGTTCCTAGTAGGTCAGATAACGGGACGCTTGTCAAGGCCGGCGGATGATAAATTACACGAGTCCCACATTATCCCAGTTTGCCTTTCAAAAACAGAAACACGCAGCAGTTTACTGACGCCGGTTCACTGACAGAAAACCACATCATACATGTTTTGTTTCGTCTTGGTGGAGTTTCTGATTGACGCGCAGCTCCCGTTTCCACTTCTTCTTTATTACATTCTGTGTGTCCTGTAAAAGGTTTACTAATGTAATAGAGGATTTTAAAGCGAGAATTCAACTCGACGCTGGCAGGAATACATCTTTACAGTTTTCTGGACTAACCTGGGAGAGAAAGATGGGCCTGTTTGCACACGGATCATTTAAAGAAGGTACGAAGGAAAGTCTTAAGGAATCGTTCTAGTTGTTCAGTGAAGTAGAACAAATGAATTGTAAAAGACGCCTAAAACTTTAAGCAGTTTTAATAAGTTCACTTCAACGTCTTGCATTTATTTTTTTAACAGCCTTGATGTCAAAACCTCTGGATTTCTGCCCGTACCAATGAGGATTATGGGTATTTAAACAAACCAAAACAAACTAACCGTGTACACGACTTAAAAAAACGCCTTTGAATTATAATCAAATGAGATGATTGAGAAATCTGATGATGTGCTAACGTCCCTCCTGCGAGCCTGAACCTGCGTGGTTGAGCTCGGCGAAGAATGAATCACATAAAAGCGAGTCGGCGTCATTTTTTTCCTTTTAAAATAATTGCACCATTTGCACGACTACTCACCTGCAGAGCCAGCAGCTTCTCACTGGGCTTAATGTGTCTTTGTATCTCACATGCCACCGGCTGAATGACTTTAATACCGTCTTCATAAAATACATAGAACATGTTGCCAATGCCCAGACCTGAAAGGACAGCACAAAAAGCCCCGTTAGCACAAAGTGCACGAATAAAATGCATCATCAGACTGCACAGGGCGAACATTTACAACAGAAATTGGCCTACAACATTGTTATCTACTTTGAATGCATCAAATCATTTAATCCCTCTCATCACAGTTCAGCAACCCCATTAAAAAAATTCAATTAACTCCGTTTAATCAACGCTACGGTGAATCAGAAGCAGTCCAGACGTACCTTCTTCTCGCCACAAAATGTTGGCCACTGTGAGGGAGAAAAAGAGGAGGAAGTGCTGTTGAAAATCAATGCGAGAATCAATGTGGTGGCTTTGTGAGCGCTAACACCCAAACGCTAACTCCTGCCGAGGCGAAGACCAAAGCAGGCTGCATGGAAGTTTTATGGAAGAACAAACAATCGATAGTGACCTTTGCGAGGAAATAATATGATACCAAACAGTGGGAAATGGAGTACTGCAAAACGCTCTAGGATTTTTTTTTTTCGAATGCGCCATGCTGAGTAAGTGTAGATGAAGGTGGAAGAAGTCTGCAGAATAAAACCTCCGTCATCGGACCGTCTTCCATCCGTGGGAGGTGTGTGGATCAGCTGTAGGTTTTGAGCTCAGATGATAATCACGCGTCATTAGGGGGGGGGGGATTAATGAGCACCCTTTTCAGTGGTAAAAAAAAACAACAGTTTTGGCTCTTGTAACATCATTTCTCATTAAACTCACATAGAGGCGACTAATGATGTGTAATGTCGACGAAAAAAAAGCCGCCTAACACGCTAAGTGCTTTTAATGGCCGGCCTAAAACGCAGACCAGCTGGTGGCTTTCAAAGCAGCCGATGGGCACTTACTTAAAATTACATGACTAAAGAGTGATGTGGCAAGGAGAACATTTAGAGCTATTCTAAAGTTATTTCCCATGGAAATCCTGCTACTCAATCAGTCTTATCTTCTACAACACCAGCAGCATGACTGGCTTCTTTACTGTGACCTTCTCTCTCATTGTTCCTCTGCTTCCTCCCCGTCTTCCACTTTCAGGCATTTTCAGCCTACAAACCAATCTGCAGCCCCATTCACATCCGATTGTAATCTCACCTCTATTGCAACGCTCATTCCCGCAGCCTCCCGCTCGGGTGGACGGAGGGCTGCAGAGACAAAGGCGACCAGACGCCACTGTGCCGTTCAGTCAGCCTGAATCTTTCAGAAAGCGCTTCGTCGAGGCTTTCGCGTGCACCCGTGCGTACCTTTTAGCTCATTAAAAGTTGCACAGAGGGATGAGCCGGGGACAAATACAAAGCAAAACAATACATTTTGTTTGAGATTTGAGGGTGAAAATGGGAGCGAGGAGTTTGAGATGAGATCTGATGTGCCTCGGACTTTCCCAGTAGTCCACAGTATTGGTGCCATTCATCACTTGGCACAAGGACTGTGGCTGCTGCGCGCATGGAAGAGGCCCATACATCAACTTCGTCATCCATATAACGAAACAAGCCCGCCGCCACTGCAGGCGGCGGCTTCATTCTTTCTGGCCGTAATAACTGTGTTTCCGCACACGGGGAGCGCCACCGTCGCCGGGCTCACCGGCAGGTTCCTTCCCGCCAGCAAGGCTACGTGAATTCAATTTGTTTGTTTACTAGAGCTGTGCAAAGAGCCCGTGGTGCTCGCCACAGTAGCGGAGCAGTAGACAGCGGGTGCATAATATAAGTCGAGTAATTGGGTCAGAGTGGATCAAATGTAAAAAGTAGCTCGGGACGACTGCCTCAGGTGTGGAGGGCTTCGCCCGCCCCCCCTCCACGAGATCATCCCGTCTTGGAAACTTTCACTGCAGTGTGCTAAATTATGCTTTCATTTTGATGCAAGAAACACACAAATGCATCGCGGTCTCCAAGCCCGCCGAGTGCCGTAGGCGGGTCGCGATGAGGGAGCAGAATGGGCGAGCCACTCAAAGAGGAAAAAGGATATTTGCAGACATCCTTTCAGCGCAGAGACGCAGAGCCACTCAGTGGGTACACACCACATATCCATTACCGCGGCTCTGCCAGAAAGGGTGTCTGGTGCTCCTGCCAACGCTTACAGTACGCCCGGCCTTGGATTAAGATGCATCAGGACCCCCTGCTTCGGCTCTTAGCAGAGCCTGTGAACCGCCGGATCAGCAGAAATGTGTGTTTATCGATGACGTCTCTAATACCATATCTCCGATTCTGTTCCCTCTTTTACACTCAAATGGGCTCATTATATACTCGCTTTCTATAAAAGAAGGCTTTTTTTTTCTAATTAGAATCAGAGGTTACTTGGCTGACGATGTTAATTAGCTTCGAGCTCTGAGCTCAAGTAGGTTACACCTTTTGGCAAAAGCTAGAAGAGTTGCAATCCAGGTGAGTCATTTCAAACGCAATCCAGTTTTCGGAGGTTTTAAATAATACAGCTGGTTATCTTCTAGGCGACCACGGCGAACAATGCATCAGTCACAGCGTCTGTGGCCCCCGGCAACAAGCCCCATGGCCCCCGACTGCAGACTCACATCCTTAAAACAAGCCGTTTCTATTCAACATTCAGACAAAGTGCATCACAGGAAGAGAGAAAGGTCAAAAGAAGTTTAGAAATGGAAAAGAGGAGGATGAAGAGGGTAATTCACTCCTTTGAACCTCCATTGTGAGCCTTCCGCTCACTGTAACTATAATTATTTGGTACAGAATATCACTTCAGCCTTTGCCAGTGTACACACTCCACAGTACTCTGAAGGTCCCTTCTAGTCCATCCGTGTACTTTGTAGATAATATGAAATATCTTTCAAGAAAATAGCTGGTAAATACTTTACGAATAGAGTAGAAAACTTAACATCCAGCAGCAATGGTTCAACATGAGACATTATGAAAGCTTTCTTTTCCTCAACTTTAAAGCACAGGGAGTTTTAGGGGCAGAAAGAAGGTCAAGCAATTCTCAGAAGTTCTGTAAGATTACATGATTTCTCTTGTGTGATTTTCACAATGAAAAAAGGTGATTCACATACTTCAGGAGATACATCGAAGTGTCGTTTTGAACTATTTCCCGTTTAAAGTGTTTTTCAAAGCGCTTATATTTTTTCATTGCTTTTGTCTTCTCTGCGCTGTATAGATTTGATGGTGCTTGAAGAATGAGGACTACCTCCAACAGCAAGTAGAACAAGGAAGCTGTGAGCCTGCAGAGGACTGAAGGCTGCTTCAGGCCCTGAAGAGGAAAAGCATTCAACAGACTAAAAGAAAGGACGTTAGTGGTGGTTTTGTGTTATTGTTTCTGCCCTTTTTTTGTATTGATTCCTTTTTTAACTTGTTTAAAAACTCAATCATTACCATTATTGCATCAGTCTTTTACCGAACGAATCGTCACATTTATTCACAAACTGCCTCGTTGTGACCGAGGGCTGCAAAGCATTTCAAACTTTCCACTGGATTTGCAATCCTCCTTTGGTGAAGTCCTGAGCGTGAAACCCAGCAGACAGGCAGGAGGCCGCTGACGCCACGGATGGCGTCACCGTCTGGGTCGAGCGCCGGGTGGCTGACAGCGTGTCCAACTCCGCGTGAAAGGCCCGCCCGTGATGGGGAGGGACGCCGCCGGTGGAAAACCTGGACGCCTGTTTTGGCAGAAGCTAAACTTCTCTGTTCACGGAGGACACGGAGCAGACGGCGTGGAGGAGCTCCGCAGAATCAAGCGGCTTTGTGCAGACTTCGGCGTGGAGCTGCGCTTCCACCGAGCCGCCGAGGCCCGAGAGATTCACGGGTTTTTTGTTTCCAACCAATCGCTTCACCGGCGGACCTCTCTGATTAGATCTGCCACTCGGCCTGAATTCAGACGGCGCCGGTTGCGATGGGAATAAACGCTTACCGACTCTTAAACGTCAAAAAAACGCTTCAGGACGACTGTGGAGATTGAAGAGTACCGTGTGGAATAAATCATTTGACAGTGGGGGCTTTTACGAGAGGCAGCGATGCTAACATGTGTGAATTAGGTTAGAGAGAATGATGCAAGTGCGATGAAACAGCGGTACAATGTACAAATTAGACCAATGAGATCAGGATTACGATTCCTTAAAATAACATGAATCAGTACTCATGTGATGCTCATGAGCTCATAAGTGCACCTTGTGTATAAAACAGGCTGTGATGTCTATGGATTAACCTGCACCTTAGTTTTAATCTCCATGTAAGCAGAGTAAAAAGGTTTTCAGTGGCCATAAGGTGCACTGGGGTGTGCAACATGTCAGTCATAATGATCTCGTGGTAAACTTCATTTACAAAGTTCTATAGTATAATGTGCCAAGATTTGATTATAATGAACAAGATTGGCATCGAAAACGTCCCTGAATGTCATTAATTACGTGCTGGAGTCTACGGCGCAGATAAAGTACTGGTGCTTCCGCCATGTTGTGTCCTCTACGCCAATTATTTCCTTAATGAGATCCAATCAAGAATGAAACGGCCACGCGGTGCAACCTTAATATTTGGGATGAACTGCTCGCCGCATTACCTACACAGCGTGAACAGAACGGATCTCTATTTGCGATGACTCATCACTGTACCTGAGGAACGGTTTTAGCGCCAGAGGCGGACGGCGCTCTGCCTGCTGGTGACGCTGACTCCGATGCTCGGGTACGTCGGAGAGAAACAACACAATTCGCCGGAGAGAAGGTTTTGACCTTCACGTTCCCCGCAGGAGAATTACTCTAAAAAAGACGGCTCATGCCTCGCTCATCAGATGAGGTTTTTTTCAGTTCATCTGCTGCTTAATACCTTTCTCAGACCCTTTGACGACGGGCTCAGTTAGTTATTCGCCGCCGTCTCTCATGCGGGCGCCCCGGGCGGCTCATAAACACCGCCGTTTCACAAAAATGAGATCATTACTTTCCACAAAGTCACACTTCAAGCACATTTCCAAGTATGATGGCAGCGCGTCGTTGGGATCTGCGTTTCACGCCGGTGGAATTGGATTTCGGGGTAGTCCGGCACCAGCACGCGGCCGTCCGAGGGATCAGAGAACGACGTTAGAGACCACCGTCACCCATTTAGAGGCAATTAAAGTGAGTATAGTGGAGACGGGAACACGAATAGCAAAATGTTCATAAGCGTCTGACAGATGCTGCGTTTTGTCTTTGGGGTACAAATGCTCTACGTTTCAGATTTGTAGAGTTGCTAAATACCAACTGCTCATTGGCCACGTTTGTGTGCGCCAGTGGAGGTTGAGGATGTTTTTTGTTTTTTTTGTTTTTTTTAATCTCCCTGAAGTTCCCTGCTTACTTTCCTTCACCTGAGAGACGCACCGAGCCAGCAGACAGGAGATTAATGAGCAGGTGACCGAGAGCCGAATCAATCCTCCTCCTGCTGCTGCGCCGCCTCAGGTGACCTCGGCAGAGAAATGTTCATTCCATTCAGATCTAAGAAATGAAACAAATATTTGTGGTGACAGGATTTTGCGTCTTGTTTTTTCGGTATTTATTACTTGTGCTGATATACATTTTGCATTGCATGTATTGTATTTTTCATTTAAATCGTAAATATTCTCCTAATATTTTAAACTTGTGAATCTTAAATTGTAAATAGGTGTAATGAATTAGCACCCACGATGGTGAAATGACTTCACTTCCTACAAGTACTATCCAATAATCTAAAGCTAGTTGGCAGTTCAATCATCACCACATTTGTACTGTGTAATATTTAGTAACATGAGCATGAGAATACGTTTACCAATTATTATATAGAGTTATATATATGTATATATAATATTTAGTTGATGCTACACACAAAGAACCTCATCATAAGCATCTGAGAGTACCAACAGATGAATAAGTGTTAGTTTTAGTTGATTAATACATTAGTCAAAGTTGTATTTGTTGTAGACATTAATAACATGAGATTTAAAGGGACATTTTAGGACTCGGTGAGGGAGCGTTTGATATTTATTTCAGCTTCTGCAGCGGAAGGGAATGTTTCACGGGGGCCTGCAGGCTGTGAGACTCTCTGAGACAGCTGGTCCAGGGAATATGTTGCTCACCGGTGGCACGTAGGGAAACTACAGAGGCCCGTGTACGTCAGTTGGATTTTCATGCCAGACTACGAAGACGTAGTAAAACAAATGAACCTTCCTTCACGTGAAACTGTGTCCGCTGACTCCCATCCTGGGGGGGAGGGGGCTGCTCACACCAAAAGGCCTTATGCAACGACCATCTCCCAGCACCATTTCGGCCCCGGGGTCCAGCCACAGAAGGCTGACACCCGACCTCGGCGAGCGCGATGGAGCGGGCGGAGGAGGAGATCTAAGTTGGGCGTAGCACAGGTGAGGGGGGCGACGGACACTCGATGTGCGTGACCCCACTGCGAGGTGAACAAGTGAGCTTTTTGGGCTCCCTAATTACCCAAAGGAAAGAACGTCACGCTAACAACTGGTCTTCAACCCCGAAGACAGATTCTGACATTTCAGAGAAGGTCAACGTTAATCACCGCGTGTGAGACTCTATTCGTGTGGAGAGAGAAGGGTGTCTGGGGGGGGAAAGGGGGGATACAACGGAAGATTGTTTGTGGCGAGAAAAAAAAGGCCTCCAAAGAAGGTTACTCGTGTCACAATCCAGATGTGACACGAGTAACCTATTGACAATGCCAAATACCAGACTAACCAATTAAGTGACAGATGTGGAGGGACGGAGAGGAAAATACGTGTTGAGCAATCAGTCCTTCTGTTGGTTTGTACGTCAACCAACATCAGACCCTGATGGCTTGTGAGCGCTAATTTCCGTTTTACCTTTTGAAGAAAGAACTATCCAACAGGACATATACAAATCAGGGATGCTGCCAATGATTCCTTTCATTATCAGTTAATATGAAGATTCATTTGAGTTATTAATCAATCGGTTGCATAGAGACAGCGAGCACCAAATGCCGGCATGCGGAGGATGAAATGTGCGAGAAAACAAAATGTCGCAAGAACAATTGATCCCGCTTCCCGAAACAGGAGACGATGAAAGCAAAGATGGCATCACCATTATTTCCATTGCGGAGGCTCCAACGCCGCATCTTAGGAAAAGAACATTTATGATCTGACGCGATGAATTATGAAGAGCTCCACTTGCATGACTCCATCATCCTCTGAACATAACATGCCACCGCCATGACTTATACATACAGGTTTTGCGAGCGGAGTCCTCCACGAATAGCGAAGAGATGTCCTCGTCTACGCCGGCATCATTTCTGGCGATGCAGGTATAAGCGCCGGTGTCTTCAAAGTGCACGTTACTGATGTGCACCTCGCTTCCATTGGCTTTGAGGAGCAGTAGACGGAGAGAACAGACTGTTACACAACAGCTCTCCCACATGTTGGGGAAGAAGGTGAGAAGGTTATTTTAGGGGGAATTAAAGGAGGGAGCAGTTCAAAGTAAGAACGCGTCGCGTGGCTGCCACTTGCTGCGTTTCTGAAAACATGTAAAAGACTTTTGTGCAGAACATCCAAGGAACATTTGGCTTTGCTGTTATTTCAAAGGACAATAAAGGCATTTGAAAATGAATCTTTCACGCTGTGGACAAGCAATTAAAATGACACTATGAATCTACTGATCCATGGATTCAATATGGAGAATAACTAATGTCATCCAACTGGAAAACCCGACCAATCGGAAACTAACTCCTAAACAATGTGAGTTAACATGAAAACAGAAATAAACAAGGTACTTAATATCTTTAAAACACTGGGTATTTACTGGGTATTTTCCTTTATACAAACCACTGTTTAAATCCTCTGTCAATGAATATAAAGCTATCTTTAAATAGATACCTACAGCCATTTCATGGTGCACCTCTTATTTCATCCACCAGTAGGAAATAAATAACAATGGAAGCTGCTGTGGGAACAAATAAAAACAGTGTGAACGCAGTTGGAGGAGCACCTTGCAGGGTGAGCTGCTTGGACAGCTTGCTGGCGATGTCCATGCCGTTCTTCATCCAGGCCAGCCGGGGGCCGGGGATGCCCTCGGCGTGGCAGCGCAGGCTGGCCGTGACGCCCGGCTCCCTGGCCTGGCTCTCCGGGTAAACTCGGATGATGGGAGGAACTGGAGAACACAGAGGACAAAGAGCAGGGAGAGGGGGGAGGGGTGGGGGGGGGGGGGGAGAGAACGCGGGGTGAATAAATGCAGAGAATCCCGCAGTGTAGTTTCCTTAAGTGCCAGTGGAGGAGCGAGGCGAGCGTATTGAACGAGGAGTTCCAGAGGAGATGCCAAGTCCTGAACTTATGCTCTGGCATTAGCATCGCTGAATGCCTTCAGGTGAGGTTACCACACCACCCCCCCTCCCTCCCCTCCCTCACCTCCCTCCCCTCTCTCCACCGGAAGCCAAAACCAATCTGATAGATAAATAAGGCAGAGAATCTCCGTCCGGAATCTTATTGATTTTGTTTGGTAGCCATTGATTTCACGTTAGCTTTTGTCAGGAGGAAATGACAAGACGGATGATGAGAAAACCAAATGTGCGGAATAAAGAAAAGTCACAAACTGAACGTCTACTACAAAGTCGTCCAAAAGCTGAGTGGACGCATTTCTGCACCTTGTGCCACCATCCCGCAGTTTCACTTATTTACGTTGCCCTGAAGCAAAAACAAACCAAAAACAAACTATACTGCACGCTGTATTTCCAACATAAATCAATAAAGTCCACAGATGCATTAACAATATGAATTTATACAGATTACGCCAACAAAGAGTCCTACAGCCGGTGGCTAAATGTTTAGTCTTGAGCCGCAAAACACGGAACATATCAGAAGAGTGATAATCCTTCAGAGAAAGTCGCCTCCTCTCAGTAGCATGACAATGATGAAACCTTTTTAGAAAAACCTAGTCATTCTCCGAGGACAGATGCTGACTGCAACTTGGACAGGGACGAGGCGCCGCGTCCAAGGCGACCCCAAGAAGCCCGCGTGAGTCATTCCGCAGCCGCCTGCCGCTTAGGAGACGACACAACGCACAGTCCGGGTTATTGTGAGGGGCCCTCAGCGGTAACAAGGACTGGACGGAGCCTACGGAGACACTCGTTTTGCACCACCATCTATGGAGTGGAGATTATTACTCACGCTTAATATCCTCCAGCTCTCGATCTGCTTTTATTATCCTTCTTTTCGTCCCTCTGCGTGTCGTGCGTTCCCTGTCAATCACCTCGTGGCGGCGGCGGGAGGTGGAGTTGCTCCGTGTATGAGGACAGGTGGGAAGCAAAGCTGCACCCCTGCATCAGTCTTCCTGGATGCTCGCATAATAAAGAGAAGCAATCTCACTCGTCCTGAACGGTGTATTCTTTAGAAGCCCGGTGTAAATGGTACGATTGGATTTTGCTGCTGATCAGATGCTGCTGCTGCAGTTGGTGGTAGGTAGTGTGAAAGAAAAAATAAAATAAAAGTGTCCGATTTACACTGTGAAATGAAATTATAGCTGAAAAAAATATTTTTCAAGAATAAATTCCATGCCAAGCTAGAAGATATGCTGCTCTGGCTTGTACTAAATGACTGTTGATACTTTGGGGATTTAAATTGGTCTCGAAATAATAATAATAAAAATGGGGGTTTTTACATTTCTTGAAAAATTGTTTTTATCTTTTTCCTCATCTAAATTCAGCACACTGCCAAGAACCGAACTGAGTGAGATGTAACAGACACAGAACTGCCAGATCTTTGAGTTGAGGAGTAACTCACACTGATGCAATCAAAGACTTAATAATTAGAGGATAATTAGACTATCTGCCTGAATAAACATGTTCAACTAAACTCCATGTCAACTCAATTCCCCCAATGTGATCGTTACAAGTGCACCAGATTCTGTACTCATTATGAAGGCCGGTCAGCGCTGAAGTTGGAACAAGTACATTATGCTCAGCGTCGAATGAATTGGATCAATCGTGGTGGTAGTTTTTGTGCGTGTGGCGGCGGTGGGGGGCAGATTTGGGGGTCTTTGCTGACTTTGATGGACAGTCGTACAGCGGGAGCACGGATCGACCGGCTTCCCTTCAGCGCCTCATTATTAAAGCCTCTGAGGAAATCCTACAAACGTTGTATTAATTGGCTGTTGGAGTTAAAGCAAAACAGATCCACAGGACTTTTAGTTCAAGAGAAAAACCGTGGTGCCTTTGAGCAAAATAGAAATGCATTTAAATAAAAGTAAGGCCATCTTACATTTGAGAACTTAGATGTTCTAAAGAGTTTAACTAGTAGTAGAAATGATCTGAATCTATTTCTGAATGAATCAAGGTCTTCAATGGCTTCATACACTGATCCTTATCATACCACACACACACATATATATATACACATGGTATGATCGTGTATTTGTCTAACCATAAGAATCTAGAAACAGAGGAGACAGAGAAGAGATTGTATCATCAGGATGGCCTGATAGGGTAAATAGAAATATCTTCTGATGCCATTGAGACTGATAGAAAATAGATGGCACGGCATCGAGCTCACATCTCATCTCACACACCTCTTTGAGCAAATTGCTGGTGAGCGTCGAGAAGATGGAACTGGTTGGTATTTTGTGCTGAAGATCTGCACTCGGGGCTGGAGTCAGAGAGGTCGCGGCGGAAGAGGAGGTGCGGTAATTGCGCGTGAGTGTGCAGGTCTAATCGGCGGCGTGGATCGCTGCGCAGAGGTCGGCTGAGGCAGAGCAAGAAGTTTTCAGCCGAGTCCTCAAAGCAGCGTTTTCATTGACACAATTCAAACAAACACCTGCGATGGGAGGGACGCTTGAATGAAACCCGCTCTGGTTTCCTCAAACACCCCGACGTCACATTGGTAAACATCGAATGAAAAGTGAGCGCGTCGGACAAACACTCACTCGCTTTGTTAGAGGAACAATTTACCAACCGAGGTACATTTATTGATGCTATTGATCTATTGACTCAATATGTTGTGCTGCCGCTTTCAACTCGTAATGCCTTTGGGAGGGTGACTACGTCACCTGCTATCAATTAGCTGGACTGTAAATCATCAAAGCTTTTGCTAAATTAAAATACCCCTCCCCCCTCGTCCCCCCCTTCCAACCACCAACGTGGGATTGTCCTTGAAAACCTTGACCTACTGGGGAGGGCTGTTGTCCTAAAAGGCTTTAAACGCATTGATTGAAAGGAGTTGCTGTTAAAATTGAGGTAGGAAGTCACACGGTGGGAGAACATCATGATGAACATGAGTGAATTCATGTTATCTCCACTAAGTGCTTCCCGAAGATCTAAAAAAAAAAAAGGGTTTGCGTTTGCATTGTATTAGCTTCTCAGACTCTTCTGTCGGGTATCTGCTCGGCACATCTACCTAATTTACCCATCTCTACTTTGAAATGATCCGCTCTATGTTACAGGTTGATGAGAGGGGGGGGGGCATCAGGATGCCAAATGTATGAGGAGCCAATTTCTTTCCCACTGGCTTTATAAACGTGACTCCTCAGTAAAAGGCCCATTATCTGAGGGAAACCTTGTGCCAATGAATATATTATATTGTGACTGAATATGGGAGTGAAAGCACATCCTGGGTGTCTTTAGTCGTTCATTAACCGTATGGAGGTTCCAACAAACAGTCAGTGAAAGTGGTCAATTGTAAATGTTTTGATTTCCCCTTGAGGAAGAATTGAGGAATTATCCACGAGCCAAGAGTGAAAACCTAGTTAATTACAAAAGGGATTGAAAAAAGAGGAAGATTTGGAATTCTTCTTTCGGTCAGCTTTACGTTCGGGGGTCGGTTCTTCTAGAGTCCAATATGACAGCTGGGGTTTGGTACCCCGGACGGTCCAGAATAGGAAGAGAGCGGGTTGGTCAGTGGGACGAAACTGGATGCAGGCCAGACGTGAGAGAAGTTGCACTCTAAAGTGTTTCTGAGTGTGGCGACACAGCAGGGCGGAAAGCGGCCGGCCGGCCGTCAATCAATCAGCGAGGCTCCCGTCGGCCTCGGCGCTCTGGAAGACGCTTTAAATCAATTCCAACACGCGGCTGCCTGCAAACCTGGCGGCCGTAATGACTGTTGCATTGAGACAAGTGAAGAACACAAACTGGAACAACACGTGATCCCTCTCCGTCACGTGCACACAAACACTCACCATGACGTGCACGCACACGCACACGCACACACACACACACACACACATGGTGACAAATGTGCTCACACCATGATGAGAGCTGTCTCTCGCAGGTGTGATTACTGTCCCACCTGAGCGTCACGCCTCATGGAGACATGTGGCAATAATTCAACGGTTTTATCCGGAACCTGAATTTCAACACATTACATGCGCATCACATGGCCGACCAAAGTTATATTTTCTGTGAAACTGCTGGAGCTGTTCTAAAAAAAGATATAGGACAAAAAGGAAGAAGCATAACGGATCTCCAAGTAGCAACACTACGTTTGCATCACGTCTCCCGCGCAGGAGATGTCTTCTGCAGGCTCCAATGTTCTTTTTCTATTAAACATTTCCTTTGATCCATCAACCACTGAAAGGATTCTAAATAATACAATAAAAAATAATGCAATGTGGTGCATAGGGAACGTGAATCTTAAAAGACACATTAGCAATAAATAAAATATATATCATCTATTTATCCTTTCTGAGGGAGTCGATGAGCTCATTGGACATGTTTGCGTGTGCACACTTTACATTACATGTCATTTAGATGACGCTTTTATCCATATCGTACACACATATACTACATATACTGTATGTATATGTGTATTTATTGGTTTCCCAAGATGCTGACAACAGCTCAGTAACCGTGGAAACGAACAAGGCCATAGGTTCTCTGCTGAGCCACAGTCGCTCCACTCGGCGCGGCTCCACCTCTGTCCTCCCACTGGCGATATGACATCACAGGTCATGTGAGGGATCAGCACAGCACATCCTGCCACAGGCAGCGAGCTTTGCAGGCTTACACGCTGGCCATTCTCACGTCACCTCCCAGCAAGGCCTCCTGGGTAACGGCTCGCCCGCTAGCAGCATCGGGTCTTAACGTTAAACCCAGCAACATGACAGCCGGGGTGACGGAGGCACACAACCCCCACCCACTCCCACCGCCGCGAGCTGGTAATTCCCAGAAGGGTGTTGCTTGATCGTTCTCAGAAACAGTGAGAGGGAAAAAATGATGACAATGACAAATAACTGCTTACGTACTCCGCATGAGTAATACACGTGATATGCATCGTGGATGTCTTCGAACAGCGAAGGCTACCTTTGGAACGATGGAGCTGCCAGGCAGAAGTAAACACGACATTAGGATCCCATCAGCAATAGTTTCATTTCAAAATGATGTTTTCAAAATGAATGCAGCTTCCAGGGGTGGTTTGTTTTATTTGACGATTCAGACTTTCATCAATTTCCCCCCCAACAAAAAAACAATTGGTCGTCTGCTTAAGTGTCCGGGAGAGTGGCCAAAGTTTGCAGCCCAACCACAAATTAAATGCAACCTCATTGATTCCTGTGTGTAGAGGTCACTGCAACAAACACAGAGCTATGGATTAAACGAAGAAGATGGTAGACGTAGCATGGCGCACATCGTGAATAGTCATGAGCTGAGAGTGTATCTCGAAGACAAAAGTGCACGACGCAGAAAGCCGGTGAAAAGACACGGGACCACTCGCGAAGGGCATGCGTGCAATCCACAAGGGGCATTGTGACGACTCTGTGTTTGTGTATCTGTGTGTTTGTGTGTGATGAAGCTGTCAGGAAACTCGTAATCTGAATCAAATCCAAAGTTGTATCTCTTGTCCTTCTCATGTGGCCTCACAGTGATGGGACACCCGTCCGAGTCCAGTTTCCCAGAATGACTCCTTCAGCTGTTTTTGGTAATTGACTTTTATGAAATTGTCAGTAGTCACGACGGGGTGATGAGCTGGTCCTCAGAGACTCCCCCCCCCCCCCGCCTATGAATTTAAAATGTATAGTCTGCAGTACAAAAGGTCATCTGGAAGTTTTGGTATGAATTATGACTGAGGTCACAGGTCCCTTGAGATTCGCCTTGTTTCTGTAAACACGATACTTGTGTATAATATAGTGAGTGTCACGATAAGACCTGTAGATCATTGCAATTAACTTTCAGGCAAGTCTTTGCAAGAATGATAATGAACTGTCTGTCAAATGTAATGAAGTTGTGGAGCTATCGACATCGCCGCGATGTGGCTTATTAACACTCAACTCATTAGGACCAGAAAACAGGCTCATTCCCACTAACTCAAGGCGCGATGCACCTTTGCCCTCTGCTTCACGTGCAAGTTCACCGTGATCTGTAATTAATGAGCAGTACGAGTTACGAATAACATTGACTGTCATTCGTAACTCTTGCATCACATGAGCCTGGTAGAGAGCGGAGGAGGAGGAGAGAGCGGCGTGCTGCAGCAAACGCCTCCGTTAGCTTAATCCCACATGTCTCTATTCGTGGGACAGGTGAGTTGCTGCCTGTTGGAGGCTGGTATACGACCACACGGCTCAGTGCTAATTGAATCTTCTGGACCGGACCACGAACTGTTACAATACAACAATAACTGAGTTCCTGGTCGTCATATAGTCTTCATTAATAAGGAGGAACATCCACAGCTATTCAAGAAGTGCCATCGGGTTAAGGACCATTAAGGAAAGGACCTTTGTGTCCTTTGAGTCCTAAGCAGTGGGTTTTCCTCCAAAACCGTCCAAGACCACTACACTGTTATTCCACACAAATTGCGTTTGGCTTAAAGATTTCTGTCAAAGGAAAAATACCAGTTTGAACAAATCCCTTCGACCGAGGACAAGAGTCAATGGTTCGGCGTGTGGTGGCTGATGGTGTGTAGGGAAATATTTGAAATCTTCCTTTTTCCACGTTTTGTTTTGGTCGACAGCAGTCATGCTGTTACGCCGAAGGACGTGAGACACGCCGTCGTCCGGCTCAGCGCGACTCTGTCTACCAATCGAACGGCTGACGTTTCTGATTCACGCCTGATTCGGTCGGCTGCACCTTTGGTGCGCGTCGGTCGGCACAGACGGACAGCAGCGTGGTACTAGCGGACGGCAGGCGATGGATTGATGGAACGGAAAAGTCTCTCACCGTTCACTTGAAGCGTGTGGGTCTGGAAAAGCTTCTCGTAGCCGTCGGCATGACAGGTGTAGTTGCCCATGTGTGTCGTGGTCACCTTGGTGATGTACAGCGAGCCGTCATCCCCAAAGTCCTACCGGCGAGAGAACGGAGAGGAAAACAATCGTCATGACTTATAGAAAGAGCTGGCGGTCTCTTTGCAACGCGGGTGTTAGAAGCTGGAAATGAACAGTTTCAATATAAATGCAAAAAGCCTGCAGTGTGCACGACGACAAGATGAACATGTTTCATATCACAGGGAAACGTTTGCACTCGTTCATAAAGACACATTGTGGAGCAATGTCCATTAATCATGAGTCAAAAGTTGAAGCCATTTGGTGCCACAGAAAACAGATGAGGAGAAAGTCACAGTTAAGAGAAATCGTTTTCTGGTACGTGTCATTTTTTCAATCAGAGGAAGGTGATCTGATGAAAAAGGACGGAGGCGATAATTGATTAGCATATAAATGACACAGCGTCAGCTGCTCCCAAAACAAAAACAGGGAAATATTGTGCTGCACACATGCAGTCAATCAACATAAACGACATGCATGTCCCACAAATACACAAAACGTGTTGCACATCAGTTAGCTACACTAAAACTGAAACTAAAATATGAATTGTTCATTTGCCCTTGTGCCTGACTTTGAAAAAGTTGCTCTTACGCCGTAACTAAATAAATATATAGAAGTATTATTGTTTTTCACTTTTTTTAACCCAGAAGATCATTAACTTTAAAATGTTCATTTTATTGGTTTGTTTTTTATAACAGTTTTCTAAAAGTAAAACATAGAATTATTCTTTGCAGGAGGGTTACGTGGGACTATTCAATAATAAGCTACAATAAATAATAAAAACAATAAATAATTGCAATGAAATACTTTAAAGCAGTGACATAACAAATAAATCCAACAAAATGTTCCTTTTCTAACTAACCTGTTTAATTGTACTGCGGTTTAAAGACATGCATAATAGAGCGTAAATTATTTGCAAGCGAGTGTTTCACAATTTTGGGTAATTTTCTTTTATAATTATATATCATTTTTCAATGGGGACATTCGTATCGCTCGCTTTCATAAGAGAATGTGGAGCAACGCCTCTACATTAAAAGCCAGATATAATCGAATGTGTAATTGGATGTAATTGGACGTGGAATCAAAAATTGTGCTTTTGATTGTTCTGGTGGGGAATTTGAGTGTATTGAGTATATTTGGGGGGTGTAAATGCTGGACCGAGGTTGATCCTCCTTTCACAGCTTTGCTGACATAGTGACACTGATTATGACAGTAAATTATCAAAGAATATACAACTAAAAAGCCCCAAAATGTCCCCTAGTGAGGCACAAGGATTAAGCAGGCAAACACGAATAAAATGGTGCTGGACGAGAAAAGAGAGAATTAGTTATTGAGGTGCAGCACAGATAGAAGCCCCCAAAGCTAATGAGCACAGGGACGTCTCGCCGGTGTGATGAATCCGTTTGGTCAACAAAGAACATGGACCACAGTTTAAAATCAAGAGCAGTAAAAGAGCCTCCTGGCGAAGGGAAATCCTCACGAGGAGCCTTTGGAGTGAATAAACTCCTCGGGTTTTGCTTGATTCCCACAAAAAAGTAAAACATTTCTGTCCGGTGAAAAGAAACAATGTTCTACTCTAACCTTAGTCACGGATGATTAAAGGCTATTTGTCTACTCACATGCGCCTTTGGAGACGTGTTTTAGGATGACTAGACTACGGCGTTGGCCAGCAGACCGTTTGTAACCTGAATCAATATGTAATTTAGAAAGATAAGCCTACTATGCAGAATAAGGTATCATTATTCATCATCCATCACTATTAGTACCCCCTATATAGATTTATAAAGTACATTAGAATTTAGCTAATGGAGATATTGAAGTAAAATGTAAAACGGCAAATACAATTTACGGATTTGAAAAAACAAGTTTAGAGAGATCCTTGTAAATGAGAATTGGTTCTCAATTGATGTTACTTGGTTAAATAACTGCTAAAAAAACTGTGCAGAGATTATTTCTTGTAAATCCTCAGAGCACATGACCTGAAACAGTGACTATAAGCCATAACAGAAGGTTTCACCTCATTCCTATGCACAGCGACTTTTAGAAATGAACGTGCTGCGACGGCCTTCGTTAGTCTTCTTCAGTTCCCGCTGACCCGATGAAGGCCACGTGCTGAAACGTGTTGCTGCATTAAAAAAACATGCAGATATAGAACCTGGCTCTTAAAATGTAAGTGCGTCCTTGTGACCCTCATCCCAACGCTGAGTCCTAATCGGCGAGTTCATGACAAAGGAAAGTGTATTTCTCTGACTGAGCAGCTTTTAACAATTTGATCACACCTTCGCCAGCTGTTTACATCTCGGCACTTAGCTCCTGCTGACAGGCGAGGACAGTCGGCCGCCGTGTGTTTACAGGCGCGTTTGTCAGTTCCCCCCCCCCTCCCCCCGGCGTGCTCCGATCCAACCCGCGAGGCGGTACGGAGGGGGGAAATCGACTGGCGCGCTCCGGCCCCCTCGGGGGCTGAGAGCACATTGTGTCACCTTCTTAAATGAAAAATGAATGGGGCCAGAAATGAGACGCAGAGGAGCGGAACGAGCCGCCGCGGAGGCTGTCGGCGTGATTCCGCCGCCACCTCATCTCGCCGGGCCGACGTTCGATCGCTCAGAGAGAAAGGTACGCGGAGCGGGTAGAGGTGGATTTACAAAAAAGTCATGGCCCCTCATGAAAGTCTAATTAATAAAGCTGTCGGATGGACAGAATGCATCTTGGATCTAAAGTATTTAATAAAAGAAAGGCTGTTAGAAGAACATCTCAGCTGAGGAGAAGCTGGTCTCTGCAACCAACAGGCCACGGGCCCCATTGACCCCCCACTGTGTCTCTTCCACCAGCCAACTCCAGAACAATGGGTGCCTACAGGTATTTATACAGATCAGCAAAGGTGTGAAAGTTAGTGTCCACGCCCCTGGGAGTGGTCTGCTGGTGAGTTCAATGTAACTCGGATTTCGAATGTCTCTCAGTCAATATCAGGTAATACTTACTCACAGCTGTACGTTGGTATTATTCTATCGAGTAGAGTTTCAAAATTAGTGGTTTTACAATACTGTGATTACTTTATTGATTAGACAGTTCCAGAGTCATGGCTGCATTCTGGTGTACACTAAATGCATTTTCTTACTTATTAATTTATGAACCGGGTCGTCAGTTTATCTCTGATACTCTACAGGAGCCATGTCGCCCTTTCGAAGGGCGATAAAGAGCATCGGAGCAACGACCGCTACCAGTGACGAGGCCTCCACCAATCGGCCTCTGAGGAAGCTGCACTTATCTTGGTGATACCCCGAGGTGTGAGAGCGATGCAAATGTCTTCACCCAGACCGACTAGGATATGGAGGTTAGTTTGACATTAAGTGCGTGTGCACTCAAATCCAAACTCGCTCGCTTGCCTCCGGGATCATTTAAGCACACGAGATTGTTTGAGCTGCGTGTAACCGACGCTTTGGTATTTGAACGCTAACAGTTTTATTTTTGGTGCTGGCAGGTTTGGGAACTAGCGTTGAAAAAAAAAAAAATGCAGCAGCGTGCGTTCTGCGAGGAGCAGATTCCCGTCACGCCGCGAGCATCATCACAGGCCTCACTGTCACTGGCATCACTTTTATCCAAAAAACCTCCCACGGAACCTGTTGACGGTGTTTTCTTACTGCTGATGAGGATTTTTTCTGGGAAGAAATTCTGTTTACATAAATGAGCCACACTTTTTTTCTCCGTGTTGTGTTCCTTTGTTCCTATGACCAAAGACACATTTTTTTTTTCCCAGCTGTTTGTGGGATTATCAAGTGTTTTCAATCAATTTTAGCTCATTTTGAAGAGCTTTCACAGCTGGGGAAGTCATGGAGGGATGGAAGTAGTTGGCTTTGATTTATTCAATCCTTTGGTTTGATCAGATTATTGGTTTTGGATTATATTGGTGCAGCAGATGGAAAAATAAAAAAAAAGCATAATATTTAAATTATTTAATGCATTTTTCTGAAAACAGCACCATGCATCTGCTTTCAGCGCCTCAGTAGCTTTGTGGGCTTTTTGTGAGTGTAAAAAACAAAACAAAAGACTGAAGCAATGTTAAAACTGTCAATGACAATAAAAAAGACACCCTACCTGGGAAGGGATCTGTTGGGGGGTAAAACAGAGGTGAAACATCACAAAGTTAAAGTCAATAACAACACGGTAAATACGTTTTTCACAGCACTGCTGTTGTGCGGAATGATTCGCATCATAAGATCTAACGGCAGGATCATTTAGAAACAATCTCCGTACGTTATGACATGTAACGTTGTGGTACCCAACTGAATAAGGCGACGCGGCATTATGGGAGAAACACCACAAACAAGGTGAAGAAGAAGGACTCACAAAGTTATGTGTGTTTTTTATGTATTCCAAAGGAGTTAACATGTCCGAGAAGGATGTAATCCTGCAAAAAGTGTCTGCTTCAAACAAACTTCACAATCTTTCTGCAACATGCATCTGTTCAAATGTTCTTCCAAACTAGTTTGACCATCCCCAGACCCAAACATACACACACACACACGCACACACACGCTTTGGCTCGGCCACTCAGGGAGGGAATACTGACAGCATCTATGATGATGCAATAGCCATCAACTGTCAACAGTAAGCTGCTTTGTCAAACGTTAGAGAAGCTCTATTGAACTCAAGGGCGCCACTGGGAATAATTCACTCAGCCGACGACATTTTTCAAATAACCAAATTCTACAGTGGGAAAGCCTTCAGGATTAAACCGCACAAACTGCATGTGTACTCAGAGGAATATGACTAATTGAGGCTGGCAGTCGATGCTCACAAATATTACCGGCCCGCAATTATACAGAAACCGTCTACGAGGCAATTTGGAATTAGTCCGTGGAGAACAGGTGCCGACCAAATCCGTTCTCCTCTCTGGAAGGGCCAACGATGATTGACTGGTAGTCCGAGTGCCAAGTGAACGTGGATTAGCCCGGTGATGGTGTGCGGCTGATGTTCCACCGGTGCCTCCTCTCTGTTCTGTGGTGTGTGTGTGTGTGTGTGTGTTTTTCTGATGAGCCACAAAGAGATTCGCGTTGATTCACACGTCGGCGGAGTTCAATGTCGGGGAGCAAAGCTGAGCGCTCGCAGAGGTTGTAGACTCCACGCTTTGTTCCTGCTACAAAATAAAAAATGTAATCTGACAACAGCAGACCTCCCGGGGTCAAAGCGGAGCGAGCGCTCTCAGTCTGAAAAGACGTGTTAGTCCCGGCGGTTGTTTAACGCAGCCTCACTTTATGAAGCTGAACGGGGCACCGACCTATCGGGGATGCGTGAGGAAAGATCCTCAGAGCACCAAAGTGCTGCGGGTTAACGGTTAGTTTGATCCGTCTTTCTTTCTTCGTTGGATCTCAAGCTGCAGAAAACTCGATGTCTCCAGTACGACGGCTGCAGAACACAAAAGGCCAAGCAGGTGCTTGATTCTTTTGAAAAGAAATCCACAGTTCAAAAACAGGGTAGAGTTGTAGATTTATATTCATGTTTTACACTGCTGCTTTCATCACTCCAGCTGTTGACAAATGATATAATATATAATATAATATTAGAAGCTTTTTTTGGGCTACAATGAATAAACTGGACGCTATTTGGCAGCCGGAACTTTCATCCGTGAGCTGACATTTCAATTGGAAACACACCTGTGCAAGACCGGGTGTACGTCTGCGGGGAGCTGACGAGTGTGTGTGAAGTGCAGATAAAGACCACCTCTGGTAAGAACACTGAACTCTGCTATGTGTCTGCAGGCACAATCAGCAGATGAGACAGAAGCCCCATTGAATCTGCAAAAAAAAGAAATCAATAGTTCTTGCTTGGAAAAAACTCAAAGACGACTTCTTTTTCCTACTCCTATAAATCCTCCCAAAGATATTCAGGAACATTTCCAGGAAATAATCTGGCCTGACATTTCTTCCTCTTCGTCACGTCCTGCGCTTGCATTAATCTCTTCTGGCCATGAATTGCTTGAAAAGCAGTTTTGATATATTAAACAAAATGACATTAAAGGGCGAAAGGTGGAGCTTCCCAGAAAACCACGACGACGTCACTCGCGCAGCCGGAACGCCAGTTTGGCGCCATTCGATGGTGCCGACAGCCGGGCCTCCTCTCGCTCATTTTAAGGGTCATCAACATTTAATGACGCATTAGCGGCTTCGCTGGGTCTCCGTTCATCTGCCGCGACGCTGTTGACTTAATTATGCACCGTGGAGTCACACTAACCGCAGTCGGACACGCGGGGGGGCGATGGCGCGATAGAGATCTGGCTTCTCTGCACCTCGTAGCACTTGAGTACCGCTGCTCCCTTTGATGACGATGGAAGGGACACGGGGGGCCCGTCGGGGGGCCGGGCATGCCGATTAGGACGCAACGTGCAGGTTTCATAAGTAGGTTCTTCCTCATGGGGCGAACCCCTTTGGTACCTCCCTTCGTGCCCCTTCTTTGTCTGAAAGCCGCCTCTCGGCGGTCTCTAAACACGGACAGCATGAGCACAAACTGTCATCCTGGATTACTGTCGGACGCGCAAATACAGAGCCAGCGCCGACAGGCAAAGAAAAGGTGCCGGCGAGCCACTGCCAAAAAAAGACGAAGGAATCGAAATGTTGCGAGAAAGGAACGCGGGATGAAATGATCTCAGCCGTTACGAATTGATGATGCTTCACAGCGTGAAACACTAATAATTACGCCAGCGTGAGAGCTTCTCGCCTATAAATCTCATCATCCATCTAGCGTTCTTCTTCCACGTATCTACCCATCGTACTGCATCTGTAAAGCATAAGATCAGACAGAGGGAGGCCGGCTCTTACGTTGATGTCCTCCAGGTTCAGCGAGTTCAGATATTGATGGTTCCTCTTCCACAGCACAGGAGGCCGTCGCTCCCCCGCGATGGCACACGTCAGCACGGCGCTCTGGCCGACGGTTGCCGTGGTGACACTCACTTTCTGGTCATCCGGGAGAGTGAGCAGGTACACATCTGTTGGCGAGAGGCAAAATAAATGACACGAATGTTACAGGAAACGCTCTTCAAGGCGCAGCGGCGAAGATATGCTGTGAATTTTAATGGGAAGATTGAAAAACATCATCAGCGGGATGTGAAGAGGTTGCAGCGGCGTCGCTATCTCACATTCCCGCTCTGCTGTCACTTAGTATTTGGCTCTGTTTTTTTCTTGTCTGTGTATTTAGATTGAATGGACCCTGCAGCAGAAGTAAAATACTGCCCCCTGTTTTTATCGGAGCATGTTGCACCTTTGAGAATAAGGACTCGAGCAAATTAAGCCGCTGAACAAAAGAGCCGCCAATTCCAGTTTACAAAACTTTTAGTTTCCATGAGATATCTTGAATAAAGACAAAGATAAATCCTAACAGACTCTGCCTGTACTTTATACCCTAACTTATTGGAAGGATAAATGCTGTGTTAATACTTTGCAGGATTTATGTACTGATACCATAATAGAATTTCTACTTGAAGGATGAGATCTTCCCTGAAGCACGCTGCTACATGTGCAACTACTGCCAGAGAGGCTTTAACTGGAGGCGGAGATTTGCCCAATTAAGTATTCCTGCCTAATACCTGAAAAGGTGTTTCAACACGTTTCTGCTACGGTTGAGATGTGGTGGTGGGATCAGCGGTCAACTATTACTCATAACCGACATTAATTGCTGCCATTAAGAAGAGGCAGGGTGGGCGGGTGAGAGGTCGGCGCGGCCAGTTAAAGCCTTTTGTGTGTGTCCAGGAGTGCCGATTAGGCCGCGTGCGCTCGGCCGTCGTGCGGTGCGTTACGTAACGCCGCCTGCGAGAGAATTCTTTTTAATCTTCCTCTGGGCTAATGAGCAACGGAGCAAGAGAAAACAGAGGCTCAATTTGTTCTGCTCCTAAGGGGCGTGAAATACAAAACCTGATGAAAGAGCAGGTCCAGCAGACGGAGCCCAGAGAAACAGGATGAGAGCACCTTCAATTACGGCGCGGCCCCGGTGGCCCCGTACCAGCAGCGCCCCCCCCCACCCCGAACGCTCTTTAACCTTCTCGCTCATTTGCGGCGTTCGGCCCGGCTCTCGCTTCGTCTTCGAACTGCGACCTCTAACCGGCCGGCCGGTCGGATCCCGGCCGATCAGCCCAAAGTCGCAGCGACTCAGGCCTCTTTTCTGTGGGAGAATCCAAGTTAAGACTTTCCAATCTTTCATTTGGGCGGCGATGAAACCCTGCTTAAGCTCGGCCAGATCTCGGCCCGGATTTCATCGCAGTTGGAGGATTAATAAAAGCCTTTTATTCTCACGGGAGTAAGACTGATTATATTGTTAATGGAGAGTTGATTTTAGTTGTCATTTTGAGGTTCACAGTTTATTGTGGAAAGAAAATCACGATCTGCGTGATTTCATTAAGTAAACGACAATTAATGAATCAGTACTCGTTCCGGTCAATTTCGATTAATGTATTACTGTAAACTGTGAAACGTGTTCTTCCTGCACGTTTACGTGTTGTTATGCAAACCCACAAAGCAACAGAACAGAAACAGCTTTGCAAAACAATAGAAAACCTGCTTCTGCTTCATTTTCCTCTCGGCTTTGGCTACAAAAACAGCCCAGAGTATGACGTAGCTCAATGCAACAGTCCCAAATGTTGACCTCCAGTACGACCACCTGAGAATGACAAAATCGCAGAGCTGCATGAAGTCAGCGCATGTTGCTGTGCTGTTGCATCAGTATCATGTATTACAGTTGTTCTCCGCTGCCATCTCGCAAAATCCAAGTAGTCGTGGCTGATGGGTGTGATGCGGCGCCACGCCGGACGTGGATGGTTTCTGAATCTTTTATTTAGTTCTTAAAAGCAGCAGTTTGCCCGTCACTTTGATTCATCTGAGAAAGGAGGGGTCCAAATGGAACGTGAAAAGAAATTCAACCGACGACAGAAAGCGACTGAAACGTTTCCCTGTGGACGTCGTAATGTGACAGCGATCATTTGCTCGTTTAAAAGCTGTTTGTCAGTAATAAAGACGTGACAACGGCAGTCAGCAGGAATGATGGCAGAGCCAATATAGGCAGAGAAATTAAACGACTGGAAGGAAATGAGAAAATGACAAGGAACGATGCTGCAAGTGAGGATTGAAAGATGTGATAATAATGATGTTGAAAAGGAAACTTTAACCTTGAACTGATAAACTCATTTTAGAAACTATTCTCCATTTACTGATGGTGTCAGACCATGAATCTATACTGACAAAGCCAAGACGAACTCACAGAGTACAAAAACTAGATTAAACCCATCTTGACTATTTGGCCTAGTTTACTGAATAATTACTATTTTACAGGTCAGAGGCCTTAATGCATTCTTGAATATTATAACTACTACTTTGTGCTTTTACAGGGCCTCTTCAAAACCGCTCATCGCACGACTGTAGTTGCAATAAGTACACAACAAAACGATCACAGCTGAGGAAGTGTAACAAGTTAAATCCGCTCTGGTGCAAAAAGTGAAGAATTAAGAAAAATGGATCTTCCATCAGTCACGCTGGGCTGATCCGGTTTCTCCTCCCCTGACACTGACAGCGCTCCAGCCAGCCCATCAACCCCACTCAGCCACTTGGCGCGCTCCGTGATGTTGAGGAGATACGCTGACAGAAATCACCCGTCAAAGACGCCGCCCCCCCCCCCCTAAACCGCTCAATCACAGCCCCCTTGTATCCAAATGCTTGTGGTGTATCCCGCCAGCGGCTAACTCGATTGGCCGCTGATCCCCAGGGAGGACGGAAATGTGTGAAGCTCAAGGGAGGATTTGGAGAAGAAAGTGGGCAGACAGAAGGCCGGGCAGGCCCCGCTGGTGGGCGGAGGAAGGAGAGGAGGGGAGGGGAGGGAGGGAAGAAGGAAGCGGAGGCTGGAATCCGGCCTGCAGGAGAAGCGCCTCGGAGCGATGGGAGTCCGGGCTGCTGGACCCGTCTTCCAAAAAGATTTATCAGAGGAGGGAGCGGCCTTGGCTCCTGTTTTTTTTTTTTTTTTTGTCTGATTCGAGGCCCGAGGGATTCCGCCCGCAGAGAAGGACCAACCTTCACAGTCCGACCTGTAATTACTGATTAACGACAGAGTCCAGGCGTTTGATTCACTCTGCTCTGCTGCCAGAGAGGGATGGCGGTCAGTGCCGCGGCCGGAGGTAAATCACTTATTGCACTGGAAGCAACAGGCTTGTCAGGGAAAAAAGCTGAGGCCTGCAGGGCGCTACGAGGGGGGAGGTGGGGGAGGGGGGGGCCTGCGTGAAGACAAATTACACTATAGCGAACCCCCTCGTTCCATCCTCCAGCACACTCCCTCTCAACCTTCTTTCATACATATATGTGTGCAAGGCTGGAAGGTTGGGTACCCTCCATTGTTTTGAGTTTGACAGTTTGAAGCGGAGATTAAAGTATTTACCCTGACAATGTTTATTAAAGAGGGAAAACCAAAGTAAAAGACCCGAAAAAACGAATCTACACTCGGTGACTCTGATCTCGGATGGTTGATTTGTGCAACTCCCAAAGCAAAAGAAGAATGGAGTGTTTGTTTTGGAAGAGGAAGAGGAAGAGGAAGAGGAGGGACTCGGTGGACTTAAATGTTGACAGAGAAAGAATACAGCTTGAACGTTGAAACACACAAACTCCCCATTTGTCAAACCAAGGAATACTTATTTCTGCTTCTAATGTTGAAATGCTTCCACTTGTCACAGTACTGAACGAACTGGATCCCCGCAGTGCCACAAGGCAACAACAGCAACCACAATCAAGTGATCTTTGCTCCCCCGACATAACGCCTTTGTGCCAAGCGAAAAAACTGAACCCGACTGAAATCATGAAGCTGTCTAATTCTAGTTTGCATTCGATTTGTCTGTGTTTTTACGGTAAACCATTGTTTTCCGGTGAGCTGCCCTTTTTGGGCCATTCGTACTCTTTCATTTAAACAATCCTTTTCATGTGCATCATGTGCTTTACCACTTGTGCACAACGGGAAAGACAGGCAGGAACGCGTTGCAACAAACCTTTACCCTCGTCGAGTCCATGTGTGGATTCCAGTTTGTTTACCTGGAAAACTCTGCAGCTCAACTTTAGGTTGAAGAACTCTGGAGTCATTTTGAGGGGGGGAACTACCTTTGATGTGGATTCTGAGTTTTTCCACTTAAGTGGAAATCTACGAGACGCATATAGTTCCAGTATCTACTGGCATGGTTCGGTTTTTGCAGTATTATTGTAATTTCAGGCAGAGGTCGAGGGGATAATTATAACCCCTTTTCTCTCTCCTCCCACTAAAATGAACCACATCAAGATGGCTGTTAAACATTTACAAATGGCCTTGGTGAGTGCTTTACCTCTGCATGATCAGCCTCAAGTCTGTCTCCACAGCAGCTGTTGGGAGAGATCCTGAGAGACGACCAGCATTAGTATGCAACCGAGCCTGTGAGGAGCTCTAATTGGATTAATTTGATCACACCTACCTTATGGAAAGCCACTAATGAAAAATCTCTTCATCCTACGACAATAAGTAAACGATACAGCTCGATTTAGCACAAGATGCGGCTCCGCGCCCGTAAACTACGTCAGCTTTTATTTTATTTATTAGGATGTAATGTTGAGTGACACTTGTTCTTTTGCCGTTCCGAGCCACATCAGAATCCTGTTTGCGTGTTCGTTGGCAGTACACAGAGCGTATGCATCAATTAACCTCAGCCCTTTCAGCATAGACCGCTTCTGTGCATTCTACTTATTTTGTGTCGGCATCACAGCACACTCAGATAGCCGCGCGGCTCGATTGCTGGATGCCGAGGATGGCAGGAGATGTTAAACATTGAGGAAAGAGGAGAAGCTCAGCCATCTGCTTACACTGAATCTCTAAACAATCCTGACAGCCAGAAAAGCTAATTGAGTCCCTCTTAGTCTCCCCGTCGGAAGGCTTAGTGAGAATCAGACTTGTCTACTGAAGCGTTCATTTACTGGATCCACAAAGAACCGCTCGATG